TAACACATTGCAGAACGCCAATGAGTTAGCTCTCAAATTGTGTATTTTTGTAGTATATAAATGGTTTTTGGTTGTCAGAATTTATATGCAAACCTAAGATTGGGCTGAAGTATGGTATTTTACCCTCTCACCAAAATAGCTACCAGAATCAAGTTTTTTTTATTGCTGTCAGTCAAAATCATAATAACACACAAGACCATGAAGTCAGCGTAATTAGATAACAAATAATTAGAATAAGATCAAGTTCATGTGAGGTGTCAATCGTTAAATTTAGTCAGTTGAGGAGTGATCTTTGCTCACTCAATAGTCTAGTCGCTATTAGAATGACACGCTTGAATACTGAAACATTTTGATGACGTAGCAACCAACCCTATATGCATATGTGTAGTACCAGTTTGAGGAAGGCCATGGTGAGTTTAATTTAATTTATACTTTTAACGAGTCGCTAATCAGATTGCTTCATTTGCATAAAGATATCAGGTCAAATAGCAGTCTTACAAAAGTGCCATTTGAATACGGTTACTTCATACCTATAATTGGATTATCTTTATATCCATATAAGATTATCTTACGTCTACATTGCAATGAAAGGCAGTAATTCGTATAAAATACCCAACAATAGATCTTTACGCAACAATGAAAAGAATCAACAAAACAGTTAACTGACAAGTACATTACAAAACAAAGTCAAACATGTATACATTGTATATAGAGCAATATTTTTAGCATTGGTCAATTATTAGTATAGATACTTTGAGCACAGTTGATGTGCATTGGCTTTTTTATCGAGTATTAGGATAATACTTAGGGGTAGGGTTTATACCGGTAGTTGCTGAACAACGATATTTACATATAACATTGGAGATGTGCCAGTGTGATAAAACAACTAAACAAGATGTGACAAACAACCCAACATGTATATTGAACACAACAAAACTAGTGACAGTATAGGTATGGAGATGTAAGGTCATAATACAGTATAATTTGTGAGGTATGTATGGTGGTCTAAAAACTAACTCTGCGACGCGATTGTGCGACTCGCCAAATGTCGGTTTTGCGCTCTGTGAAAAGGTCGCAGTGTCACTCTGCGAAGAGCACGATTCTAATTGGTTGGTTGGTTGGTTGAAAGCGTGTATCACAATGGTCGATCGATGCCCATATTACTTCTTTATTTACAGTGTAAGGGTACACAGCATGCCTTATATGTTAAGTTTTAAATGGTTATTTCGCCGACTACTTGCTAACTACGATAAACAAGCATTTACTGGCGACATGGCGCACTGTTCGGTAAACGGCAAGCATTTAACATTTATTTATTAACACATATAACATCCCAAAGCACATGCACGTTGGTGTTGGCTGCCTTATTACGATGTACATCAGGGAGCTGGTAACATTAACGCCATCTTAAAGTTGTAAGGCTTCGTCCGCAATTATGCTCATTAACATAGACGACAGCTTCAAAGCGAGTAGAGCGCGAAGTACGTTTCACACAATGTTACCTTCTTTTTTTTGTCATTAGCAAGTATAATTTGTTATGACTATATTCATCACTTTGAACTCCCAAAAAAATCGTGTAGCGAGTCAAACTGTTTCTAGACAATCAATATCGTTTTATTAAGAATATTAAGAGAAAAGCTGTGTGAATGGATTGAAACCACTGCTGTAGATAGAAAACTAAAACGGCAGTGTCAACGGAAAATTAGATGGGTGCACGCTCTCTGCATAAACGGAAATGATGGCGTTGTTTATGGCCGATGTCGAGAGCAACAGATTTCCTGTACTCACTTCCTCGTCTGATCACTGTCCCTCAACGGTCTGACGTATCGGTATGGTCATTGGTTAAGTAGTTGAAACTCTTTCACGTTGATGCGAATATTTCAGTCTCATCATCCCTTTCGAACCACTCGCAAGGTTGGTCATAATATGACCTAGACGTGCTTGCAATCTGTTGCGATTCCGATGAAAAATTCTTGAAAAATAAATATAAATTGCGTTAACGAAGGGTGAACGGGAAAGTCCTGTAATTTTTCATCGGAATCACAACAGGCTGCAGGCAAGTCTAAATTAGTAAATATGGTCCGAGTCGCAGATTTTTCTTTGCCTCGTCTGTCATTGGCATGATTGCGATAGTAAGATTGTGTTATTAAAATAGAATATAGACTTAGAAAATAAAACGATTTCTCAGACGAAGTCTTGACAGACGATAATGCAGACAATGGATGTTAGATAAATACGCATTTTTTGTGACAGGAAGCTTGTCACCCGTTATATCAAAATCGTCAACATTCATACCACAAACCAACGCCGTTTTTGTTTACTTTTCACTTTTTACTTTTCGATTCCGTTTATGATCTAAACGAAGGCAGACGATTGAAAACAACTGCTGTCATGGCAAAACGTTGCACATTGTGAATGATTTTTTTTTTTCACTGCATGCAAATTATTTTCCTTGATGCACTCAACAATGTCAAAGCTGACGTACAACATTTGTTGCAGAACGCGGGAGAAGTACTTTGCGTTCCACTCGCTTTGAGGTATTTTTTATTTATTTACTTCAAATAAATAAAAAATACTGCCACCTATGCTAATGAGCAAAGTCTTCGGGACGAAGCCTTACCATAAATAGGCAGTCAACGCCAACGTGCACGTTTCGTTTCTAGCCAGATGTGATGTGTCTAATCACCTTAAACCATGTGTCATTTGTTTGGTCACACAATCTGTCTTCCATGTGTTTGCCGATCACCGAACAGTGCTGCATGTTTACACACTTTTTTTTACTGTACTATTTTTTACCATTCAAAACTTAATTTTTTATAAGGCATGCGGTGAATCCTTATACTGTAAATAAAAAGTAATATTATGGGCATCGACCATTGGGATTTGCGCTTTTCGACCAACCAACCAACCAATGGGAATCATGCTCTTCGCAGAGTGACACTGCGATCCTTTCGCAGAGTGCAATAATCAACATTCGGCGAGTCACACAATCGCGTCGCAGAGTTAGTTTTCAGACCCCCGATACATACATAAATTAGTTATATGTAAAAGCGGGGGTGTAGTCACCTGTGCATGTGTCAGATGGCCATAGCGAGTCATTGTTTACAAACAAGCGTCTACCCATGAGCTTGGGACTCGATTCCCGTGCATGCGCACATGAAGACCCTCCCGCTTTAAGATATTATTACTGCAGTTTGACTTTGAATCATAGTAGTGTATGCAGTTGTTGATGTTATATGGTTTACTTGTTACTACAAATATATGTACAGTGAAACATATTCAACCTGTGTCTTGCTTGGTGTTCTGCAGTAAGGTTTTACAGTGTGTATGAAATTTAAATTCAGCAGTATTCCCTCATTCCTTGTATGTTTTACAAGCAAGGTTTTTACCTCGACTTTGATTGATTGTTTATAGTGGTATTATTATAGCAGGGATCTCGCCACGCTGGTCGGAAATTATTCCGACCAGGACTATTGTCCGATTGTTATTATAATTATGTACGGACCGACACGCATCCTGGATTATAAATTGTAAACAATAGACCTAGTCGCACGATATGTAGCGGCTAGTCAAATTTGTGAAATTAGCACCTCTTTGTTTGTAAGTCAATACTTTCTGCGATAGACACAAGCTAAAATTTTTTCAAAATCAATTCCACCCCGATATAACATGGTCAAAACGGCATTCTGATTGGTTAATGGCATTCTTGACCCATCAGGTCAAAGGACACATGCCGGTCAACTAATGCGTCACAAACATCATTGCAGGTCTGTATTTTTACTGAAGCGATCGAGTGATCAAAAATAACCACTCCTGATAAAACTAAGTCAAATTTTACTTTTATTTCATATTAAAAAAAAATAAAGAAGTAACATTTTTTCCATGGCATTATGACTAGGTAAGAGGAATTATTGGTATAATTGGTGTATAACATCGCGAAGTAAGTTATGTCACGTCGTAATTTTTATTTGTTCGTTCATTACTGTGAATATATATGTTTTAGAAGTTGATGGTACGTATAATAAATTACAACAATACGCCAAATAATTACGTGGTCGATTTTGGAAGGAGAATGTTTTTGGAGTAAATAAGATCGTTAACATATTCTTGGCTGAAACGTTTCAAATGCGTTTTATTTAACTTTTTACAATAGACATTAATATTGCAACAATAATTTATTTGTTTCTGTTTTTAGTCTCCAGCATTCGCATTCTGAATATATTTCATTTTTAAATTAAAACTTTTCTAAATTGTGAAACATAATGTCTTAATTCCAAAAATACTTGCACTGCTACTGAACTCATAATATTCATTTCTAATTAATATTCATATAGGTTATTAATATTCATGACCGACCAGCACTCCCATTGGGCTGGCGAGATCCCTGTTATAGTATTATTTGGAAAAGTTAGATTATGTGACACTTCACAATTTGCTACTTGATTTGAGAAGAATTATACACATTAACCATCACTCTCAATGAACAGTATATAAATTTAAAAACATTTTGGCAGACTATTCTATGGGAATGTTTTAAATTCCATGAATAGATTTCACATCTATATACATTCAAAAGTATATCTACAAACAATGAATTCCTTTGATTCGGAATTCTTTTTTAAATTAGATTTATTTATTATTCAACTTACTTAGCAAGTCACAATCCAATCCTCCATGTGATGCAAGACATGAACATCCATATGGATCAGAAACACAAAACATTCTTCCTTTACAAGCTGTACCTGTATTTGTCCTAGAACATCTGAGCTCACATGACTTTCCCCAATAGCCTCGTGCACAACCTAAAATATAGAAACATGTGTAGAAAAATAGTATAAAGCATTATATTTATTGAGTGACAATTTTAACCAATAAATGAATGTTTGAAGATGAGGTTTTATTGCAATACCGTGAAAAGCTGATTAGTCTGATAAAAAGTATTTACGGTATTATCAACATTTGCAAATAAACATGTGGTTATGTCATCTCCATGCAAATGGAATGACAAAAGTTAAAAACAATTTTTTATTTAAAAACAAAAGACCGAAACCCAAATTTGTACACAAAATTATACAGTGAAAATTATTTATTCATATTTTGCCCAAATACGTGGGATGAAAAGTTGCACATAATAATCATATGAATCATAATATAGTTTGTAACAGTACACTCAGTCACACTGAACGGTGTGCTGCTCTGATAATAGATGTCCTTAATAAATTAAATTAATTTAAAAATGCATGCAATCAACAATGAAATTACACACCTTATTGAAATTATTACTAGAAACAAAAACTAAATGACAAACGTGATTAGAGCATGAGAAACCAGTCAAATCTGAATAGGGCAACATGACTGAACATACATATTGAACATCTCACTGAAAATATTAATTTAAAACAGCACACCATACAAGG